TGGAATTGTGCAATTAACACACTCAGCACCTGTGCCTGGCTTACAGGAAGCGCTGTGTAGATGGGTGGTCTTATTACTTTGTGGAGTTCCTGGGTAGTGCATTCGTTTAAGCTCTTGGCTACTAACTGAAAGGTTGGCAGTTTGAATCCACCCAGAGGCACCTTGGAAGAAAGGCCTGGAGATCTGCTTCTGAAAGGTCACAGTCATTGAAAACCTATGGAATGCAGTTTTACTGTAACACGCATGACACACATGTAAACCCGGCCACTGAGTCCAGTTGACTCTTCTGCATTTTAAATGCCCCCTCCCTGCCATATCTCTTCCTTCCTCTGTCTCTCCCATCCCCTACCCCTCTGCCCCTTTCCCATTCCCTCTCCTTCCCTGGTCTCTCTCCCTCCCCCTGTCGGTCTCTGGGTATCTCCCCAGTAGGTTTCCCTGGCCTTGACCTCATCTAACTCACCCTCCACCCCAAACGTCTTAAGCCAGGTCAACATCTGCAGAATCTCAGCCAGGTCAGCTCAGCTGCAGAGCATGAGAGACATATTGGCAGACAATGTTTGTCCTAGTCACCTAGTGCTGCTGTAACACAAATACCACAAGTGAGTGTGACTTTAAAGAACAGAAATTTATTTTCTCACAGTTCTGGAGGCTAAAAGTCCCAATCAGAATCTTAATCACGTTGATTTCTTCCTTGTCAGTAGCCCTGGGCATTCCTTGGTTCCTTGGCTTGTAGATGATCCTCACATGACATCTGTCTTCCCCTTCTTCTCTTGTGTGTGTCTCTGTGTCTATTCTGGTCTTTTTATAACTCAGAAGTGATTAGGTTTGGGATCCACCCTACACCGGTATGACCTCCTTACCAAAACAAAAGAAAACCCCTATTTTCAAATAGGATCATAGGTCCCTAGGTGGCACAAACTGTTTGCACCTGACTACTAATCTAAACACTGGTGGTTCAAACTCACCCAGTGGTACCATGAAAGAAAGGCCTGGCAATCTGCTTCCCATTAAGATGACAGCCAAGAAAACCCTATGGGGCAGTTCTACTCTCTGCACACATGGGGTCTCCACGAGTTGGAATCGACTGGACGGCAATTGACAACAATATTTTCAAACAGGATCACCCCCACAGGTACAAGGGCTAGGAATTCAACACATATTTGGGGTGAGGGGCAAACAATTCAATCCATAACAATGTCATGACCTTCCTCAACCCCCATGCTCCCATCTCACCCCTCCCTGATGCGGTGAGGCTTGGTAACAGCAGTAGGTGCTGTGGGGACCTCTCCGTTCCCGTCCCCCACGGAAGGCCTGGTGGGGATGCTCTCAGGCAGCGAAGGGGAAGCTGTGAATCTCCTTTCCCTGTTCCTCTCACACCCACTTGCCCAGTGGAGAGAATAACATATTGTAAATGATCATGAACACGCTTGTATTTGCATATTTAATTTAAATTTTTTTTTAATACTCCGTTTTCTGTTCCTTCTTTTGGTTGCACCCTGCTGTCCACGTGGATCCTCCCGTTGAGCTCCTCCACCCCACAGGCACGTGCGCTCTTGGGTCAAGTTCAAACGTGTGGGTCCGTGGTTTGGAATCCTGGGCTGCCATATTGGTGCCTTCAGAGTCCTTTCCTGGAGATGGTCTAATACCAGGTGCTTTTCTTCCCAAGGAGCCCTGCTGGTTAAGCTTTTGGCTGCTAACCAAAAAAGGTCGGCAGTTCAAGTCCACCAGCCACTCCTTGGAAATCCTATGGGGCAGTTCTACTCTGTCCTATAGGGTGGCTATGAGTCGAAATCAACCTGATGGCAATGGGTTTTATCTTCCCAGTGTGTGTCAACCACATTATGCTTCTGTGATCAAACTAAACAACAGTTGGATATTTCTTCATATTACATCTTACAGACGCCAATCAAAAAAAAAAAATAGTTGCCATTATTTCTTACTCCTGGGAACCCCCAGTGTGTGTTAGAGTAGAACTGTGCTCCATTGGGTTTTCAATGGATGATTTTTCGGAAGTAGATCACCAGGTCTTTCCTCCAAGGTGCTTCTGGGTGGGTTTAAACCGCCAACATTTTGGTTAGCAACTGAGCTCTTAACCATTTTCGCTACCAAGGGACTCGCTTATAGACACCAGCTGAGGTTAAAATGACCCACTGGATATTCTACTTTCCCTTCCAGATAGTTCCGTTTGGAGCTTGGAAAGGACACTTGGTGTTTTGCCCCAATTCCCTCAGGTCCCATCTATGGCATCTCTGTGCCCCTCCCCCAGCTTCCCTGTGCTTTTTGCCCCCAATGGGCAACAGATGCAACTTCTTGGGATGGCTGACCGCAGACTAGTGAGGGGCAGAGAGTGGGAGACTGAGGGGAAAACAGAGGGAGACCATGGGACAGAGAGGGGGGACCTAGAGGCTGAGAGAGGGGAGGGGAGGGGCAGAGATGGGGGATCGAGGGAGGGAGTGACCAGGGACAGAGGGAGGGGACCAAGGGCCAAGGAGGGGACCGAAGGACAGAAGGGGGGAACAAGGGGCAGAGATGGGGGGACCGAAGGGCAGAGAGAGGGGGATATTGAGGGGCAGAGAGGAAGACTGAGACAGAGGGGGAGACCGAGGGGCAGGGGGAGGGGGAGACCGAGGGACAGAGAGAGGGGAGGCTGAGGGGCAGCCAGAAGGGGACCGAGGGGCAGGGAGTGGAAGAACCGAGGGGCAGAGAGAAGGGAGATTGAGGGGCAGAGGGAGGACCAAGAGACAGAGGAAAAGAAAGACTATTTCCCTACTTCTTCCCTCCGCCAAATTACTTACCCAGAGAGGTGAAGTCAACTGTCTGAGGTCGCTTCGCTATTGGGTAGTGAAGGTGGGAAGGGTTATAGACTGATTGAAATAGGGGCTGAGGAGAGGTAGACTTTGAGGAGAGAGGAGGCATATTTTCCCCTTTCTGATTTCTTTAAAAAGTGTCATACACCAGGCCTAAGATCATGATTAACTATAATAAATGACAACGACAGTGATTCCTGGTGATCCACGGCGATCCAAGGGGATAAACTGGGATCTACAGCGCTTCCATCTTGCCTCCCGGTCATCCGCGGGGATCCGATGTGATCTGAGAAGATTGCAGTCCTCAGGTTCGGCCACACGGTGTCGCTGCTAGAAAAAGAATTCACTGCGTCTCCAGGATTTGCGATTTGAGTGTTGTCGCTTACTTCTCTTTCCTTTGAAGGTGTAAAAATTTGCTTATTGTCTTGGTTAAGACCAAAGAGGTTCATGGCACTCTATCTTCTATGCCTAAGGTAAAATTAAAGGACTATGACAGATACGAAGCCCTGGTGGCGCACAAGTTAAGAGCTATGGAGAGCTATGGCTAATGAAAAGGTTGGCAGTTCAAACCCACCAGGCGCTCCTTGGAAACCCTATGGGGCAGTTCTACTCTGTCCTATAAGGTCGCTATGAGTTGGAATCAACTCAACTTTTTTTTTTTTCCTACACTGGTATGACCTCAACTGATCGATTAGATTGCGTCACGGAAAGTGATTCTATTAGAAGGTAGCATAAATGGTTAAACACTCGGCTACTAACAGAAAGGTGGGCGGTTGGAATCCAGCCAGAGGTACCTTGAAGAAAGATCTGGAAATCTACTTCCAAAAGATCGTAGCTATTGAAAACGCTATGGAGCGCAGTTCTACTCTGACATACATAGGGTCGCCATGAGTCAGAATTGACTCAACAGCAACCGGTTTTTCTTTTTTTTTTTTTAAATATGGGTTAGGAATAATCGGCCAGAGTTCCTACACATAGCCTCTCCAAGTGACTGGGCTCTCTCTCTGCCAAGTGACCCAAGGGGGATTGTTCAGAAACCAAGTGCTCTGAGACCCAGAGGAGCTGTGTGGCTTCTTCTGATGTAGACTTGGAGTCTCACAGCGCCACTTAGTCACACGCCCACCCAGGTTTAAAAGGGGTGTAAACTGCAGCTCTCAATGTGAGCGAGGGCAAAGATTTTGGGGCCACGGCAAGAATTCTTATTTAAACGAGGAATCTGGGTCTCACATGAACATCATCACTACACTTGTTTCCTTGCATGCATAACCTGCATGTTATAAAATGTTTACTTAGCAAGACGCCTGGCACATAGGGAGCACTTGAATTAACCCCCTCATCTGCATGCCCAATCTGCACAATTAAAAAGACATAAGAAATTGGAATTGATGCATTTGAACTGCGGTGCTGGCCAAGAATACCAAATACACCATGGACTGCCAGAATAAACAAACCGGTCTTAGAAGAAACACCACAATGTTCCTTAGAAGCCAGGATGGTTAGACTTTGACTTGCTTACTTTGGCCATGGCATCAGGAAGGGCCAATCGCTAGAAAAGGATATCCTGTTTGGTAAAGTAGAGGGTCAGTGAAAATGAGGAAAACCCTCCATGACATGGATTGACATGACAATAGCTGTTAACAATGGGCTCAAACAAGTGATGAGAGGGACCGGGCAACACTTCATTCTGTTGTGCGTGGGGTGCCATGAGTCAGGGGCTGTCTTAGTCACCTACTGCTGCTGTAACAGAAATAGTTTGAGTGGATGGCTTTAACAAATTTATCTTCTCAGTTTATAAGGCTGTATGTCTGAATTCAGAGCACTGGCTCTGGAGCAAGGCCCGTGTCTCTTCAGCTTCTGCTTCCTTGGAGATCTCCATGTGTCTTGGCATCTATCCTACCCCATCTCTCTTTCTACTCACTTGTTTAATCTCTTTTTGTATTTCAAGAGATTGACTCCAAATACATCCTATGCTAATCCTGCCTTGTTAATGTAACAAAGACCACCCATTCCCAAATGGGATTATAACTGCAGGCAGAGGTCAGGATTCACAACATATATTTTGGGGGGCCCTAATTCAATCCCTAAAAGAGACCGATTCCACGACAGCTAACAAAAAATTTCTGGGGCTGGGGACTGGAGGGAGGAGGTTCCGGAGGGTAAAACAGGGTCCACTCAGACACAGGCCCGATAGGGTAAACTCATCCAATGTTTACTGAATGTGAACCATTGCAAACATTGCCACAACCTGAGACACTCACTCACTCACTCATTCTGATCCCCCTCTTAGCTCCCCTTGAGACGGGACCTCCCCCAAACTCTGGGGGATGGAAAGGGAGATATGGGGAACGCAGGGAGAGACAGCAAAAGCAGGGGACAGGAAGGCAGTAGGGCCAGTGTGAAAAGCTAGATTCTTGGAATGGACACACACACACACACACACACACACAGAGGCAAAGACCAGGGGCGTCAACCTCTGCCCCCACCCGGCGGACACGAGAGATTCTAGGAAAGACCATGTGTCCGGAAAACATTTCAGTCCTTCCTGTCATGAAGCGTCTGCCAAGAGGGGCTGAGCCAAGGTCCCTGGGCTGTGGAGAGAAAAGACAGTCATCAGGGAGGCCAGCTTGTGGACACAGAACCCAAGTTGGGGGTATATGGTAAAGCGAAGAAGGATAATGGGGAGATGGAGGGAAATGCAGACCTAGACAGAAACTGAGGCACGAGGAAAATGGGAGGCCCTGTGAGGGAATGAAATCATAACCCAGCGAGTTGGGCCAACAACCTAGTTCTTAGTTGGTCAGCATGTCTACCTGACCAACCACCAATAAAAACCCTGGACACCTGGCTCAAGTGAGCTTCCGTGGTTGGCAATACTCCATGCATGTTGTCACACACCCTTGCTGAGATAATCGGGCGCTGTCCACAACTCCACAGGGACAGGACAAGTGGAAGCTTGCTCCTGATCTCTCCTGGACCCTGCCCTGTATGCCTTTTCCCTTTGCTGATTTTAATATGTATCCTATCACTGTAATAAACCATAACTGGGAGTACGGCAGCTTTTCTGGGTTCCATCAGTCCTTCTAGCAAATTACTGAAGCCAAGTGTCATCTGTTGGGCAGAGGCTTGGGGCAGAAGTGTAGCAAGGCGCAGATGGGAACACTTGCCCCGGGGTGCAAGTCCACCCAAGGGGGTGGCAGATCAGGACCAAAACGACATTCTAAGATGCCACAAATATGAAAGACACCTGAGGCATCAGGACAAAAGCAGGAAGGTGTTTCTGCTGATGTGTCACTGCTATCAACATCTATTCATCTTGAAACTGGGGGGCCACAACTTAGACTTTGTCCCCGGATGCTCGTTAACCTTTGCTACACCTCTATCTTGGGCACCTCTCAAAACTGCACCCATGAAATACCCAAACTGCAGTTTCCCTCCTCCCTCTCTCTTATATTAACCCCATTTTTGCTTATGCTGGATAAATTCATCTAGAGTCCCAGATGACCTTGTAGACTCCAAGTAAACCTCCTGCTTAACTAAGCAGAGGCCTTTGAGCTGACAGTCTGGAATTGCCATAGGCAGCGTATTTACGCAAGAGACGCACTCCACTTTATCTTCAAGGATTCAAATTCCACTGAGGTGGCACCCTCATCCCTTGTAGCAACAGCCCACAATTCATTCCGCTCCTACAGCTTTGAGATTATGCAGGTCTTAACTTTTTTTTTTTTAATTTTGGGAGAGTCACTTCATTTCATAATTGAACGAAGCGAGACATTACTTGTATTTTTATGCTGCATTATTTCACCAAGTTGTATTCAAATTGATGCCGGGTGTGATCTCACTGTGCTGTGGTACGGAATTCTTGGAAGCGGAACTTGAGTTTCAAGCATCTGAGAACCAGTTTTCTGGTACAAAACAGCCTGGGAGCAGATGCTTGGGTCCACAGTATACAGACATGTGATCCTTGTCTCAGAACACCCTGGGGTGGGAACTAGTTCTTAGTGGTAGGAAGTGGTTCTAGGCTCTAGAGCGTCAGGAACCAGAACTTGGTTCTGGACTGGGCTGAAAACTGGTGCCCAGGGCTAGAGTAGGTTGGGTTTCCATCTCATCTGCAATGTATTGGCTTGGAAACTGGAAATCAGGTTTAGAGTGTGCTGGAAAGCAGTTCTACGTTCCAGAGTAATCTGGAAATTGCTACTTGTTCTAGACTGTACTGAGTTGGTGTGGTGTGATGGATTGCTCTTATACGGCCTTTCTCGCCATGGTCTTGTTAACTGCCACCAGATGACTGAGTGAGACTATGTAAATAAAGTGCTTGTGGCCCATCAAGGGGATTGAATAGCTTGCTAATAATGCAAATAAAGTACGTTACCTTCCTAGCCCAGAAGACAGAGAGCTGTCACACCAGAGACAGCACACGAGACAGCGAGAAGCAGTGGCAGAGAAACGGCTGCAGCAAAACCAGGAGACCAGCACAAGATGGCATGGTGGGCTTCCCAGCCCACAGAGCAAGGAGGCTAGTGTGGGCGTGCCGAGTGAGCGCCTCTGGGCAGGAGGCTTGCTGGCAGAGTGGGGTGCCTCCAGGCACTTGGCAGAGCTAGGCTCACTGACCCAGAGAGAGAGCTGAGTGCCTTCGGGCGAAGGCCTACTGGCAGAGTGGGGTGCCTCTGGGCACTTGCTGGAGTAGCTAAAGATATTTTGAAACACTGGTCCGAGCAGGACAGGGGCGCAGAGGCGCATGGGCCAAGAGGCCAAGGGCTAGAGAGAGACCTGCCTGCTGGCACAGCTGAGGAAAGGCTGTCCTGATTGAAAACTATACCCTAAGTCATTCCTGATCCTGAACTGTACCGTTACTTCCCTAATAAACCCCATAATCATGAGTATTGTCTGTGAGTTCTGTGTGGCCATTGCAACAAATTATCGAACCCAGCAGAGAACTAG